ACGCAGCCCATGCAAATCCTTAGACAGTGGTAGTAGAATCTTAAAAGTAACTGTGGCTTGCACTGGGAGCCAACGCGGAGGAGCTACGAGGGCCACAGGGAGCGAGGAGGAGAGACGGCCTCGCAGGGCAGCGCGGCTGGGAAGCCCACTCGCTCGGGAGGTTACTCGTAGATCCGCCGGGGTCAAGGCGCGAGAGTCGCGGGCCGGCCTGCCAGCAGAGTCTCCTTCAGAATGGGGAGCGTGTAGACACACACACGCATGCACACGTGTGCACGCACACACACGTGTGCACGCACACACACGTGTGCACGCACACACACGTGTGCACGCACACACACGTGTGCACGCACACACACGTGTGCACGCACACACACGTGTGCACGCACACACACGTGTGCACACACACGTGTGCGTGCGTGTCTGTGCGTGCGCGCGCTGAACTTCTTTCGCGCCGGACGCGGCCGCATTCCTTCGGCGGAGCGAGAAGGACGACGACTACGACAAGGTGTCGCCGCGACTTTGCCGACGTTTAGGATCAGCAAAGACAAGGACCTATCCAAGGTAATATGTCTATCGCGGTGCCAGTGTGTGCGTGTGTCGGCGGGGGCAGACGCCCTGACCATCAAGGCGCCGGATCGAGGGCGGCCGACCCCATGCCCGGTTGGCGGGGCGCGGCTTTGCCACCCCGACCCCGAACGCTGCCTGTGGCCACGGACCCTGGCCACGTGCAGGCAGGGGACGGAGGACCCCCGAAACATTTTCCCTCGGGGGCGAACAGTTCAATCCCTGGTCAAATAATGTTGGCAAATCAGTGCCACGGGGATTGTGAAGACACGCGGAGACAGGGAGACAGGGAGACAGGGACAGACAGCGTGGCACGGGGAGACAGGGACAGACAGCGTGGCACGGGAAGACAGAGAGACAGGGAGACAGGGAAAGACAGCGTGGCATGGGCAGACGGGGAGACAGGGACAGACAGCGTGGCACGGGAAGACGGGGAGACAGGGACAGACAGCGTGGCATGGGGAGACAGGGAGACAGGGACGGACAGCGTGGCACGGGGAGACAGGCAGACAGGGACACTGTCACATGGGGAGACAGGGAGACACTGCCGGCCAGTGAGACACAGTGAGACGCCGACAATGGCAGACACGCAGAGAGACAACGACACACACACACGGACACACAAAGACGAATAGCCCCCTTATAGCCTTAAGCGACCGTTGGGGCAAGTGCTGTTCGTGAGCACGTGCAGACACTGACACACTAACACACACACACACACAGAGCGACACACACGCACAGTGACACACAGTGACACACTGACACACACAGTGACACACTGACACGCATAGTGACACACACACAGTGACACACCGTGACACACTGACACGCACAGTGACACACACAGTGACACACTGACACACACAGTGACACACTGACACGCATAGTGACACACACACAGTGACACACTGACACGTACAGTGACACACCCGGTGACACACTGACGCGCACAGTGACACACACACACCGTGACACACTGACACGCACCGTGACACACACACAGTGACACACTGACACACACAGTGACACACTGACACACACCGTGACACACCGACACACACCGTGACACACTGACACACACACAGTGACACACTGATACACAGTGACACACTGACACACACTGTGACACACACACAGTGACACACCCGGTGACACACTGACGTGCAGTGACACACACCGTGACACACTGACGCGCACAGTGACACACACACACCGTGACACACTGACACATACCGTGACACACTGAAACACAGTGGCACACTATCACACACCGTGACACACTGACACACATCGTGACACACTGACACACACCGTGACACACAGTAACACACTGACACACACAGACCGTGACAGTGATACACACAGACCGTGACACACTGACACACACCGTGACACACTGACACACGCCGTGACACACTGACACACACCGTGACACACTGACACACACCGTGACACACTGACACAGACAGACCGTGACAGTGAAACATACAGACCGTGACACACTGACACACACAGTGACACACTGACACACACAGTGACACACTGACACACACCTTGACACACTGACACACACCGTGACACACTGACAGACACACACCGTGACACACTGACAGACACACACAGACCGTGACACACTGACACACACCGTGACACACTGACACACACCGTGACACACTGACAGACACACACCGTGACACACTGACAGACACACACAGACCGTGACACACTGACACACACCGTGACACACTGACACACACCGTGACACACTCACACCGTGACACACTCACACCGTGACACACTGACACACACAGTGACAGTGACACACACAGTGACAGTGACACACACCGTGACACACTGACACACACCGTGACACACACACCGTGACACACACACACCGTGACACACACCGTGACACACTGACACACACCGTGACACACACACACCGTGGCACACTGACACACACCGTGACAAACTGACACACACCGTGACAGTGACACACACAGTGACACACTGACACACACCGTGACACACTGACACACACCGTGACACACTCACACGGTGACACACTGACACACACAGTGACAGTGACACACACCGTGACAGTGACACACACCGTGACACACTGACACACACCGTGACAGTGACACACACAGTGACACACTGACACACACCGTGACACACTGACACACACCGTGACACACTGACACACCGTGACACACTGACACACACAGTGACAGTGACACACTGACACACACCGTGACACACTGACACACAGTGACAGTGACACACACAGTGACACACTGACGCACACCGTGACACACTGACACACACCGTGACACACTGACACACACAGTGACAGTGACACACACCGTGACAGTGACACACACCGTGACACACTGACACACACCGTGACAGTGACACACACAGTGACACACTGACACACACCGTGACACACTGACACACACCGTGACACACTGACACACACAGACCGTGACAGTAAAACATACAGACCGTGACACACTGACACACACAGTGACACACTGACACACACCGTGACAGTGACACACACCGTGACACACTGACACACACCGTGACACACTGACACACACCGTGACACACTGACAGACACACACCGTGACACACTGACAGACACACACAGACCGTGACAGTGACACACACCGTGACACACTGACACACACCGTGACAGTGACACACACACCGTGACACAGTGACACACACCGTGACAGTGACACACACACACCGTGACACACTGACACACAGTGACACAGTGACACACACCGTGACACACTGACACACACAGTGACACACTGACACACACAGTGACAGTGACACACTGACACACACAGTGACAGTGACACACTGACACACACAGTGACACACACCGTGACACACTGACACACACAGTGACACACTGACACACCGTGACACACACAGTGACACACTGACACACCGTGACACACTGACACACACAGTGACAGTGACACACTGACACACACCGTGACACACTGACACACAGTGACAGTGACACACACCGTGACACACTGACACACACCGTAACACACTGACACACACCGTGACACACTCACACCGTGACACACTGACACACACAGTGACAGTGACACACACCGTGACACACTGACACACACCGTGACACAGTGACACACACCGTGACACAGTGACACACACCGTGACAGTGACACAGTGACACACACAGTGACAATGACACACTGACACACACAGTGACAGTGACACACACCGTGACACAGTGACACACACCGTGACACACACCGTGACACACTGACACACCGTGACACACTGACACACACAGTGACACACTGACACACACCGTGACACACTGACACACCGTGACACACTGACACACACCGTGACACACAGTGACACACCGTGACACACTGACACACACCGTGACACACTGACACACACCGTTACACACACACTGACACACACTGTGACACACTGACACACACCGTGACACACAGTGACAGTGACACACACCGTGACACACTGACACACACAGTGACACACTGAGACACCGTGACACACACAGTGACAGTGACACACTGACACAGTGACACACACACTGACACACACCGTGACACAGTGACACACACCGTGACACACACTGACACACAGTGACACACACCGTGACACACACAGTGACACACTGACACACCGTGACACACTGACACACACAGTGACAGTGACACACACCGTGACACACTGACACACAGTGACACACACCGTGACACACTGACACACCGTGACACACTGACACACACAGTGACACACTGACACACACAGTGACACACTGACACACCGTGACACACACAGTGACAGTGACACACTGACACACACACTGACACACACAGTGACACACTGACACACAGTGACACACACCGTGACACACTGACACACCGTGACACACTGACACACACAGTGACACACTGACACACCGTGACACACACAGTGACAGTGACAAACTGACACACACCATGACACACTGACACACACAGTGACACACTGACACACACAGTGACACACACCGTGACACACCGTGACACACAGTGACACACTGACACACCGTGACACACTGACACACACACTGACACACACAGTGACACACACCGTGACACACCGTGACACACAGACACACCGTGACACACTGACACACACAGTGACACACTGACACACCGTGACACACACAGTGACACACTGACACACACACTGACACACACCGTGACACACTGACACACCGTGACACACTGACACACACAGTGACACACTGACACACCGTGACACACAGTGACACACTGACACACACACTGACACACACAGTGACACACTGACACACAGTGACACACACCGTGACACACAGCGAGCCGCGTCTCCCTCACCTCCTCGTGATCCTGTCGTCTCCTACGCGCGCTCCTTCCCCGCTGCCGCCGCCGCCTCCTCCCCGCCGTCTTCGTCCACCCGACTCGCGGTCATCGCCGTCGCTACACGCGGGGGGCGTGGGGGGAGGAGGAGACCGCGAGAGGCGACGAAGAGGAGAGGGGAGTGGGGGAGAGAAGACGACGACGAGGAGGAGCGATGAGGTGGAGGATCAGAGCAGAGAGCCCCCGGTAAAGGGCGAAGCGGGGAGGCGACCGTGATTACAGCGTGACGTCATCCACTACACGGGGCGTGGCGTCATCGTACCACACGGGGCGCGTGACGTTTCATACCGCACGGGGCGGGGGGGGGCGACGTCAGCCTACCACACGGGGCGTGACGTTTAAAACGCCACACGGGACGGGACGTCATCCTACCAAACAGGGGCGCGACGGCATCCGACCACACAGGGCGTGACGTCGTGCGGCTTCACACGCCCCGCGCGTCACCGCCGAACACCACGTGATGTCACCCAGAAGACACGGCGGGCGTGTGGTGCCGACAACGGCGCGTTGGGTGTGACGTCATCACAACTTTAGGAGGAATGTCCCCACCTCGCGCTGCACATGCGTGACGTCATCCTTACACGCGGGGCGACGTCACCATCAGTGGCGCGCGTGAAGACTCGACACATGACATCGCTGCAATCTACGTGACGTCATCACTACACTCGCAGCGTGATGCGAACTCCACAAGCTGTGCAACATCGCCGCTACACGCGGCGCGACGTCATAGACCACGCCGGTAATTACGTCACCACGCACGCGCGACGGGATGTCGTCACTGCAAACCGCTAATCGCGGCGTGACGTCACCTCACAGCCCCCCCCCCCACCACCACCACCGGGGTGGCGCCGGCGTGTTGACGCGCGACGTCACACGTCCCTGGGCCAATGGGAGCGCGAGGTGTGGAGCTTCCTGTTGTGGGCCTGGGGGGGGGAGGGGACCGGGGCCCCGGACCCTGAATCCCCCCAGCAACTCTCACAGAGCGCAGCCCTAGGGGCGTCCTCTGGAGCCCCCCCACCGTCTCCCCTACTACTGAGGTACTTACTGAGTCCACTAGAGTCCTCTGGAGCCCCCCCCCCCGTCTCCCCTACTACTGAGGTACTTACTGAGTCCCCGGGTCTCTGTCTCCTTGAGTCCCCTAGTCCTTGAGTCCTCTAGTCCTCGAGTCCTTGTCTCCGCTCTAGCTCCCGACTCCCTGTCTCCCCCGAGTTCCCAAGTCCCTGGAAGTCTCCCCGAGTCACCACCGAGTCGTTGAGTCTCGAGTCCCTCAAATCCCACGTCTCTCTGAGTCCCATGTCCCCGGGTCTCCCGAGTCCCTGAGTGTCCCCCCCAAGTCGTCGCCTCCCTGGCCTGCTGTGGTTGAGGCGATGCCGGTCACGTCGCCTCGTCGCCTCTCTGCCCTGGCGTGGCCTCCGATGGTGCTGCTGCTGTGCCTCACCGCGGTGAGTGTGGTGTGTGTGTGTGGTGAGTGGGTGGTGAGTGGGTGGGTGGTTAATGTGTGTGTGTGGTGATTGTGTGTGTGGTATGTTGTGATTGTGTGTGTGGTGTGTTGTGATTGTGTGTGTGGTGTGTTGTGATTGTGTGTGTGGTATGTGGTATGTGTGTTGCGTGTGGTGAGTGTGTGTGATGACTATGTGTGTTGTGTGTGATGAGTTTGTGGTGAGTTTGTGCGTGTGGTGAGTGTGTATGGTGGGTGTGCGTGTGGCGAGTTTGTGCGTGTGGTGAGTTTGTGCGTGTGGTGAGTTTGTGCGTGTGGTGAGTTTGTGCTTGTGGTGAGTTTGTGTGTGGTGAGTTTGTGCGTATGGTGAGTGTGTGTGTGGTGAGTTTCTGCGTGTGGTGAGTTTGTGCGTGTGGTGAGTTTGTGCGTGTGGTGAGTTTGTGCGTGTGTGGTGAGTTTGTGTGGTGAGTTTGTGCGTGTGGTGAGTGAGTGTGTGTGGTGAGTTTCTGCGTCTGGTTATTTGTGTGGTGTGTGCGTGGTGAGTATGTGTGTAGTGTGTGTGTTGAGTGTGTGATGAGTATGTGTGGTGTGTGTGGTGAGTGTGTGGTGTGTGTAGTGAGTGTGTGATGAGTTTGTGTGTGGTGAGTGTGTGTGTAGTGTGTGTGGTGAGTGTGTGGTGAGTTTGTGCGTATGGTGTGTGTGTGGTGAGTTTGTGCGTGTGCTGAGTTTGTGCGTGTGGTGAGTTTGTGCGTGTGGTGAGTTTGTGCGTGTGTGGTGAGTATGTGTGTAGTGTGTGTGGTGAGTGTGTGATGAGTATGTGTGGTGAGTGTGTGATGAGTTTGTGTGTGTGGTGAGTGTGTGTGTGGTGAGTTTGTGTGTAGTGTGTGTGGTGAGTGTGTGTGTGGTGCGTTTGTGTGTAGTGTGTGTGGTGAGTGTGTGTGTGGTGAGTTTGTGTGTAGTGTGTGTGGTGAGTTTGTGTGTAGTGTGTGTGGTGAGTTTGTGTGTAGTGTGTGTGGTGAGTATGTGTGGTGAGTGTGTGTGTGGTGAGTTTGTGTGTAGTGTGTGTGGTGAGTATGTGTGGTGAATGTGTGTGCAGTGTGTGTGTAGTGTAGTGTGTGTGCTGAGTATGTGTGTGTGTGGTGAGTGTGGTGAGTTTGTGTGTAGTGTGTGTGGTGAGTATGTGTGGTGTGTGTGTAGTGAGTGTGGTGAGTTTGTGCGTGTGTGGTGAGTGTGGTGAGTTTGTGTGTGCGTGGTGAGGAGCGGAAGTGTAGCGGTTAGCGCGCCGTGCTAGCAACCCGGCGACCCGAGTTCGATTCCCGTTCACGGCCACCAACCCCAGTGACGATTATCTGAACCGGTCCCGGGCCTCTCCTATGTCGACTCAGCCTCAAATGAGTACCTGCTGCGGTGTGTAAACATCGTCACTGGGGAGACAAAGGCGTCCGGGCGTGGTGTCGGCCACCCACCCCCTCGTGTGCCGTGCCGACCTTCAAAGGTGCTCGCTAAGAGCACTTGCCCCAAACAGTCTGTTAAGGCTATAAGGGGGATCTTTGTCTTCGTGGTGAGTGATGGGTTTCTGTGTGATTGGTGAGTGTGGGGTGTGTGTGTGAGATGGGTGTACATAATAACGGTGAGTGTGCTGAGTGGACGTGGTTGAGAATGATCCTGTGAGCGTGGCAGAGTTGGGAATTGGTCAGTCAATGAACCGCGTGGTTCAGCGTGGTGAGTGAGAGTGGTGGGCGAGTGGTGGGTGACGATGTGTGGGCGAGTGGCCAGACCCCCCTCACTCACCTGCCCTCGAAGTGTCTTCCATTCGAGACAATTCCCCCATCGTCTGCACTTCCTCCTCTCTCCCCACGTGCTGGGTGCAGTGGGGCTGAACGATTTGGGGAAAATATCTAGCTGCGATTTTTCTGACAGATGTTGCGATTGCGATTTGATTTGCGATTACATTTTTTTAAAAGTCAAGCTTCAGTTCAATATTCACTGTGTAATAGATTTAAAACACGCGATGGAGCATTACCACGTGATACCATCAAAACATGAACTGCTCCATATATGCTTATGCAAGGACGAGAACTTAAAATATATGAATTGCTTCCAACATGTATTTATTAAAATGTTTTAATTGAAATAAAACAATCAAACATAGAACAATTGTTAAGTTAAATAAATACAAATATAATAATACAATAATAAAACAATTCCAATAAGAAAGTTATAGGACTCTTCAAATCGCAAAAAATCGCAGCCTTTGAGATTTGCTTATCGCATTGTTTCAAATTGCGATTTCGATTTGAAATCGATTAATCGTTCAGCCCTACTGGATGGGGGGCGAGGGTGAGTGTGGAATGGGGGTGAGATGGTGAGTTCACAAAGTTAGCTTGTCTGAGTCCATATTTGCTGTTGGTGTTAGGGCCACGTGGTACCGTGGCAGTAGTAGGTTTTGGCCAATGCGGCTATTCGTAGTGATCACAATTGCACACATCCTCTACAGAGTTATTGTTGACACGTGCCAGTGTGTCAACACGTGCCCCCTATGTATTGATCAACATCTAACCCATATAGCTCATAATCTCCGGTGGCTTAAAGACTTATCATGGCTACAGTGGTTGACAAACGCAGGATTTGATCATCGTACAGGGGGGGGGGGGGGGTCACAAGACATATGGACCACACTGTAAAATGTACCGCATAAATCATAATATATTTGCAAAACATAACATCGTTTGGTGGGTGGTGTAGGGCTTGACGACAATAATTGTTGCCATAGAGACTACCGCCACGTGGCCCCGAACCCAAAGAACAAATGTGGGTCAGCACCGGGTCAATTGTTATATGAGCTAGAGAGAGGAGAGAGTGTGGTCAGAGTGGCTGGTGAGCGATGTCACCGGTGGGTCACGAGAGTGGTGAGCGCGGTGGTTAAGTGTAGCGTGAGATTGGTGAGCTGAGTGTGGGGAAAGCGGGGGTGGGTGAGAGTGTTGTGTGACAGTATTGAGAGTGGCGATGCGCGACTGTAGTGATGTGATGTGTGGTGTGGTGAGTGGGTGTGGTGGTGAGTGGCCGTTGTGAGTGTGGTGATTTTTTGCATGTGAGTATTGGATGAGTGATATTGGTGAGTGTTGAGTGAGTGATATTGGTGAGTGTTTGGTGAGTGATATTGGTGAGTGATATTGGTGAGTGATATTGGTGAGTGTTGGGTGAGTGATATTGGTGAGTATTGGATGAGCGATATCGCTAAGTGTTGGGTGAGTTATATTGGTGAGTATTGGATGAGTGATATTGGTGAGTGTTGGGTGAGTGATATTGGTGAGTGTTTGGTGAGTGATATTGGTGAGTGTTGGGTGAGTGATATTGGTGAGTGATATTGGTGAGTGATATTGGTGAGTGTTGGGTGAGTGATATTGGTGAGTATTGGATGAGCGATATCGCTAAGTGTTGGGTGAGTTATATTGGTGAGTGTTGGGAGAGTGATATTGGTAGCTGTTGGGTGAGTTATATTGGTGAGTGTTGGGAGAGTGATATTGGTGAGTGTTGGGAGAGTGATATTGGTAGCTGTTGGGTGAGTGATATTGGTGAGTGTTGGGAGAGTGATGTTGGTAGCTGTTGGGTGAGTTATATTGGTGAGTGTTGGGAGAGTGATATTGGTAGCTGTTGGGTGAGTGATATTGGTAGCTGTTGGGTGAGTTATATTGGTGAGTGTTGGAAGAGTGATATTGGTGAGTGTTGGGAGAGTGATATTGGTAGCTGTTGGGTGAGTTATATTGGTGAGTGTTGGGAGAGTGACATGATGGACGCTTGTGTTACGCCCGAAACGTCGTGATTTATTTTATTTTATACCTATGTGACTTTACCGAAAGAACCAAAGAGTATGTGTTGGTGAGTATACCCAGTCCCACATCTCCTGCCCCCCCCCGCCTCCACCATGCAAAGTGCCATCCTCTGTTCACTGTCTCCACTTCCTTCTCTGTCGCCACGTGCAAGCGTGGCCCCTCACTGTTCAGTTCATTGGAGCCCGGTCGGTGGTCTTGGGTCGGTGGTCTGGGGTCGGTGGTCTGGGGTCGGTGGTCTGGGGTCGGTGGTCTGGGGTCGGTGGTCTGGGGTCATTGGACTGGGGTCGGTGGTCTGGGGTCGGTGGTCTGGGGTCGTTGGACTGGGGTCGTTGGACTAGGATCGGTGGTCTTGGGTCTTGGGTCGGTGGTCTGGGGCACGGCGGCCGAGTGAGCCCCCTGTGTGCGTGTCGCCGTTAAATCCACTGTCAGCACGGAGCGTTCCATCGGCGTGCGCCATGACGGACGCGCCCAGGGCACACGCCGCGCGGTCGCGGTGATCGTTGTGCCCACGGCGTTCTGGCTCGACTCCACTCCACTCCACTCGCTCGCTGGCAAAGATCGCCCTCCCCCAAGCCCCGTGCAGCCCTAAAGGCGTTAGGGCCAGGTGCTGTTCGCAACAACAACAACAACAACAACCGCCATTCACCACAAAGTGGCGGTGACGTCCCCACGACGCTTGTGCCAGGCTAGGTGCACGCTGAGGCCACGTGAAGTGTCGAACGCCCGCTGGCAGGAGGTCACGGGGCAGACCCAGCAGGTGCCGTGGGTCGACTGAACGAGATGACCGGCTGATGCACCACCCGTGCCCCCTACTGTGCCACCTCGATGTGCTTTAGCCGCCCGACGCTCCGCTCGTTGTTGTGAGCGTCGCTCCTCTGCCCTCCGTTGTTGCTGGAGGGCGACTGCCTCCAACTGCCCAGTAGCAGCGTCCTTCACGAGCACCTACGCACACACAGTACTCTGCACACACCTAAACACAGTCACACACACACTGTTGTTAGCGAGTAGCACCTATGAAGGCCGGCATGGCACACGAGAGGAGGTGGGGGTGGCCAGCACTATGCCTGGCCGATTTTTTTTCTCCCTAGTGGCGATGTTTTTACACACCAGGTACTCGTTTGAGGCTGAGTCAACCTAGGGGAGGCCCAGGACCGGTTCAGATATTCATAAT